ATGTAAACATGCAGCTAAGGTTCCCAAAAGTTCCTTCGCGTTTTCTGAATGAATGGTCTGTTTGGAACGAGATCGCTATCCAATAAGCTCCTCCTCTCGAATGGTTGGGGTAATGAGGGAGGAAAACCTTGAAAGTCCATTCATCAGTGTAGTAAAGGAGCTTGATACAATAATAACGCGGTTAAGATCCCATCGAAAGAAAAGTGATGAAACGAAACTTTTGCGGGAAATTCACACGCTAATGCTGAGCCAGAGTCAAGGCAAGCTCGCTTGCAATTTCTGCCACCCCACTGAGGGCTAGGAGCAGTGACTCATAATGGAAATGTTCAGTAATAAATGCCCTTATTATGTCACAGAATGCGTGAGCTTTTCCGGGAGGTCACATAACAAAGTACGCATAAGTGCACTCATACGTAGACAAAATTGGAAGTAAAGGGGCGGGCAATATCATAGTTCATCGTTGATAACCCTAGTGAGTTTAAATGCAGGACTGTTCTGGAATGACAGGAAAATGAAGAAGAAGACCGAGATGAAAAAATGAAGATCTCGAGAAGGTGACAAGCCACTTTGATTTCATTTATAGACTTATGTTCAAATGAAATGCATACACATGAATGTTGCGTGCAAAAGCAGACTAACCACGTTCCCAAGCATTATATTCAACGGGAGCAGCGGCGGCTTCTGCCCGATGCCAAGGAAGCGGTGAGCTCGAAAACCTGGTCCGTCTAAATAGAAAAACTGATCGATTACTTTCTACATAGCAGCGGAAATTCATTTAAAATCGCCTACGTAAAGCAACAACTTACATCGTCTCCGCTGGATGGGGCGCTGCTTCCTGAATGACGGAAGGTCCAGATTTGAGGTGAGGTGCTGGGCCATTGAAAGGCCCTGCTTTAGGGCCATTGAAAGGCCCTGCTTTGAAGGCAGGCCCTGGCTGCATAGTTTTCTGAACGTCACAAAAATAGGCGCTATACAAGAAGCAATAAGTAGCACTCACCATAGGAAATCCAAACGGAGGTACCATTTTTTTCTTCTTTTTGTTTTTGTTCTTTGCTTTACCTCAAAATAAAGCACATCTTCTATTAACAGAAATAAAGAAGAAAGAATATTTCAGTGAAACCAATATCATTCACTAACAGAAACCACCCAATAAGTCCG